TCAGGTAGTAATCAGGTAGTAATTAGTTTAAAATCGGGTACCTGATTTGTGCCTGATTTTTTATCTTTCGACCTGTGTTAAAAAACTTCTTTTTAATATATAAAATTTCTTTAAAAACAATTAATTTTTTTGAAAAAAATTTTAAAGATTTCTCAATATTAAATACATTTTGATGAGCTCTACAACTTTTGTTAAAAGCTAAAGAGTGATTTACTTAGTATAAAAAAAAGTTTTAGATAGAGGTGCTATGCATTCACACTTATAGTAAAATTTATATAAAAAAAAAATTTTTGAACCAGTGACTAGAGAATCGCCTATTAAACTTAATAAAACTTTTTATTTTAAATTTAATAACCAACTACTGTATTAAAATTGAAAAAATTATTTTTATAACTTAAAATTAAAATTTTAGGAAATTATTGTACTGTACTTAAATATAATTTAAAAAAAAAGTTTACTAAATTATACCGTCCTCACCTACGTGAGAAACGTGATAATCGTCCAATCAAATTATAACAAAATTTCTTTTAACGTTAACATTTAAATTTTTACAAAATCAATTATATTTAGTCTTCGTGAGTTTGTATGTTACCGACTAGAAGCAATTCCCGAATAAAAGCAACTTCCCAATTTTGGAACCATTCGTTATATAAAACCATAAATAACTTTAGCAGAAAGTATTATACTTTGTTAATACAAATAAAAGCAACCCTTCCTTTTCGACATCTAAAAAATTAATTTTTATGATAGTTGCTTTTATTCGAAAACATGGTAACCTGTTATAATAAAAGTTCATACTTGTCGTCTCAGAACAATATAATCTTTAATCCGTGTTTTTCGAATTCTCTGGATAATATCAATATGGTGAGCTATAAACTTTCAGTTTAGTAGAAAAATGAGATATCGCAAAATTTCAATTTTAACGCAACGAACTTTTTTCATATCAGCTCAATTTAGAAATATATATAGCATAAAATAACACAATTTCACAATTCAAATAATTCAGTTAAGAGTAGAAATACTAACGTTTGCAAAAAAATGGTGGAGGATTTGTTTAATGAGTAATATTGATGACAATTGCTAAATACATTAAATACATTGTACAATAAAAGTTTCCCTTCCAGAAATTAAAAAAAAAAAAAAGATTATGAAATGTATTCAATGAATGTTTAATATTCTATTCTATTAATAACTAACAAATAATAATCCCCTCTAAAAACTTTTCGAGTAATGATTCAAAAGAATTATTTAGTCTTCGCCTTTGCTTTCTTTGGAGAGGGCTCTGCCGCACTCGATTTTTCACCTCTTTTTTTAGGAAGCAATTCAGAATGAATATTTGGAAGTACACCACCCTCAGTAATATGGACATGTCTCAACAAGATGCTTAATTCTTCATCATTTCGTACAGCCAACTGCAAATGTCTTGGAATAATTCTTTGTTTCTTGTTGTCACGTGCGGCGTTACCAGCGAGTTCAAGAACTTCAGCGGTCAAATATTCAACAACAGCAGCCAAATAAACTGGAGCACCTGCTCCTACACGTTCAGCATAACGACCTTTCTTCAGAAGACGACCCATACGACTAACCGGAAAAGTGAGACCAGCTTTAACGCTTTTAGTGGTTTTTGAAGAAATTTTGGTTCCAACTTTAGCGACGCGTTTAGCTTTCTTGCCACCGGTTTCTTCTGAACCAGATTTAGCGGGAGTATTTTCGTTTCCTACGCGAGATCTTCCAGCAGAATCAACGGTAGACATGATGAAAAGTATTTTTTTAAAAAGTGATAATAATAAATTTTTTTAACGGGTAAGAAGAAAAATGGAAATAAAATTTTTTTTGTTTATCCTAATTTTTCTGGGTGTGATTAAATAGATAAGACGGTTACACTAAAATTTTGACAACTACGCGTTTTTTTGTTTACACGATCAATTTTAAAATGAAGTTTTTTATAGCGTGCCAAATGTGCCAAATGTTTTGATTGGTAAAATTTTCATGCGTGAAGCTATGTTTCGTATGGCTTTGCTTATAGCAGATTGTGAAAGATCGACAAATATGTACTGATTTTGTTACTGTACTAGATCAAGTGTAATGTAGATTCACGTGCTTTGAAAATCGCGTCTCTTGATCTTAACCCTAACTTTAGTATTTATTACCGTTACTTTAAAATTTGATTGGTGTTGATTAGTTTATAAGACCGGTTTAGTCATATTTTGTTAATTTTTAGAATTATGTGACGCGATGGCGATTTACTGCGATTTGATTTACTTATCAAAATCTTTTGGATATTGATTATTAAATTTAGGTTTATTCATTATTAGCATCAGAGCTTTGTAATATTTTTGGTAATTAGATACGCATAATCTTCTTTTCTAGTAAACTTTTGCTTATACCTAATTACTCAGGATATAATTAAACTATTTTTTGCAATTCATATAACATAAATCTTTATATACTTAGTTTTAGCATAAACTTTTTTTTATACATTGCTTTTAGTACGTAATAAAGATAAAAATAAATAATACTGTGATTATCTCAATTGAATAAATATATCTATAATAAAAATACAAAAATAAATTTATTTTTAATTTAATTAAATAATACAAAAAAAAATTTTATAAATATTTAGATTAAAATTTTTATGTTTAATTATATTATATAGTATTATAATTAATAATAGATAATTTGTTATGAATTATTTATTATATTTAAAAACAAAATTTTTATATTAGTTAAATCTAAGTAATTTATATTTAGCTTTTACTGTATTTTAGCTTAAATATTATAATTTAAACTAACTAATAGTAATTTAATTAGTTTATAAATAAAAATTTAAATATATATTATATCAAATAGCTTTATACTATATAAATTATATAAAAAATACAGTAATTAAAGCTATACAAATTTAATTTATTAATTTTTGTAATATAAAACTTTTAAAATAAACATAGCTAGCTAGCTTTTTTTTAATTTTATATTTTAAAAATTTATTGGTTATTAAAATATATAAAATTTTTTTTTTTAGCTAGATTAATAAACTAATTATATAATTAATTTTATATAGTTTGATTTTAATATTTATACTGTATAATATTATCTAAATAAGCTTTATAATTTTTTTAATAGAACCCAAGTCGGGTTCATTTTTTGAACCTAATCCGGGTTTCTTTGAACCCAAATCTAGGTTTATTCGAACCCAATCTGGGTTTATTTGAACCCAACATTTGAATCTGTAATACATGGGGCATTACACGAGATCTAAAACGAAAAAAAAATTAGAAACCTCTTACCCGGGGCATCGGGCTCTGATATTATTATTATTATTAATAAAAAATATAATTTTTTTATGAAAATACTGTATTATATACAAATAAAACAATGCTATAAAGTTTGTTTTTTAATATAACAATTGTTATTTTTTTTAAAGTTATTAATACAATAAAAAGTTGGTTATATATATATAAACTTAAAATTTTTAATAAAAATTCAATATTTTTGTTTCAAATTGGCCACGTTATCGTTACTGGTTTGAGTTCTGCGCTACGTATAATAAATTTTGTTAATCGAAATTAAATTTTATTATACGTACGTACGTATATTATGTTTCTTTTTATAAAACACGTAAATATTTAATAATTTCGCTTGCTGATTATCACATGAATAAAGAGCCAATCAAAGATTTAAATAACAATGAAAAGTCTGCCTATTTAATTACTGCAGTAAAAAAATTCGTGTTACGCTTTTAATAATGAACTCAAATATCATGTGATTAAAATTACTACATTTTTAATATATTAAGCACGTCAATTTATTTTTTTTTTTGCTTCGAGAATGAGAAAAAGTAATGAAGCAAGAAACTACAACTTTTGAGATTGCCAGTAAAGGTTCATAATGATAGCAAAGTTTATAAATATAATAAAATAACAAATGAATTATTATTTTAAATAATTAAATAATACTAATAATATTAAAAATTAATAATTAATAATATAGTTGGCACAACCGATATGACAGAAATGGACCCAGAGATTACAGAATTGTGCAAAAATACTTTGGCAGATTTCTATGGAACAGAAGACGTGACTCGTAAAAATGAGAAAAGGGAAAAAACTAATTCGGTTAGTAATATTAATTTTAAAGAAAAAAACCCCAACTATTATATATTAACGACCTTTTTACATTTATTTATTGGTGATAAAAGATAATAGAAGGTATTCAACATATATCAGTAAAGACTGTTTCTTTTTTTTTTAAAAAAAAGGTTAACTATATCTTAGAAAAAATCTAATTAGATTTTAATTGTTAATAGGCGATAGTTTTTCGTATAAACCAAAAAATGTTGTAAATGTTATAGACCCAGATATTAAAATTCGGGATTTTGGGTATGCTGATGATGATCCTCGACATTGGGGACAACCTTACCCAGGTGGTGAGGAAGAGAATAATGAAGATGACGAATACACAAACCACAGAGCTAGAGCACTTTATGATTTTCAAGCAGGGGACGCAGAAGAATTGAGTTTTAAGGAAGGGGATATTTTGTTAGTGAAAAGACGATTAGATGATGGATGGTTTTTCGCAGAATTAAACGACAAAACCGGGCTGGTTCCGGATAATTATGTCACTCTGATAAGTGAAGAAGAAGAGGAGGAAGACGAATATGGAGATTGGGCTAATGAGGAGCTAAAATTATAACCCCTTTCTTTTTTTTTCCTATTTTTTTTATTTTTATTTTTTGTAGGGTTTTATAATATGACGCGCTTGCAATACGGTGCGCTCATAATAATACGACTTAATTAGCATAATTAGCATTACTAATCAAAAGATAGAGTTTTGGTGGACGATATATTACTATTATTACTGTATTATTATTATTTTACATCTTTTTTCTTTTTTTATTTTCTCTGATTACAATCCAGTTTTGATTGACTGTACATAATCATTTTATATGATAAATCATTATTATTACCATACTTAATTTTACTCTAAAAATTCTATAGGCTTCGAAAATTTCAAGTATTACATTTTTTTTTTTTAATACCGATCATTTATTTATTTTTCCTTTTTCACAATATTTGTAATAATGTTGACAGTTATGAATGAGCTGTAAAAGTATTATTGTAATAATTGAAGGTTCAATAGTGGAAGTGGTTTACAAAAAAAAAATTATAAATTACAGATAAACCTAATTATAATGATCTATGATGATACACTTGAATTGATTAAAAAAAAAACATTTGAAAGAACTTTTAGTATGAAATTATTTCATAATTTAGAAAAGCATTTTTTTGTTACGTATTACGTGTAACAAATTCTATAAATGAATTGTATAAAAATGATCATACATACCCCTCGTGAGGCGTCAATTTTACCAAACAAAGGAAAATCTTTATATTAAATACTACTGTTTATTGCCATATTTAAGAATTATAATCAAGCGCCAATACAAAACAATTACGCAGATCAAAAACCGAATTATTAGTATCCTGGGCCGCCGGTACGTATTAACGGAAACGAAGCTTCCGAACTTCCGAAGTTTCCGAAGTTTCCGGTTGTACGGATCAAGGTAATAGATACCTCGTGATCTTAATATAGTGATTGGATTATAATAGTATAAATGATGGAATACCTGATATAAAGATATGGTCCTTATTACAGTATTACAGTATTACAGTATTATGGTATTATGGTATCACAGTATTACATTACATCACAGTATCATAGTTTAGCAAGAATTCCAAGAGAAATTTTCGGACATCAAATATACATAATGATAAATGTCACATGCAAACATCGTCAGACTCTTAAATTAACAAAAAAAACAGATTTTTTGTATCATTAATATCTCATACTGTAAACAGTCACACTAACATCTTGAAACTTGTAGACATATATACCATTCAATATATAGTTCGATAGATTCGATTTCTCGTGACAATTTACGTGACAGTTTGCAGTCTGCAAAACGGTTTAACAGTACGTATAAAATTTATAAAAATTAGAAACTTATCAAATAAATATAATTTGTTCAGTTAGTATATATAATCAACAAATTATTGAGGATGGCAAATAAATAAGTAAGGGTAAAAAATTTTAATAGATTGATTAGATTTGTTAAATAACTTTAAATTTTTAATGAAAATCTAGTAATAAATACAGTACATGAAAAAAAAAACAAGGTTATCTAAGCTAATCCAATAAATTCATCTTAACTCCACATGTTGTTTTTTATCTCTAATGATTGTTTATTATATGCATATTTAAGAATCTTTGAAAAGAAATCTGATCTGGCAGATAAAATTACTACGCATAATAACAATATATAAAGATTTTTTTTTATTTTTTTATTATTGTTTACCCTGGCATTCGTACGTATATTCGCACGTATATTCGCACGTACGGTATATTCGAACGTATATTCGTACGTATATTCGTACGTATATTCGTACGTATACGACTCGTATACGTATGTATATTCGTAAGTACCCTACATTCTGAAAGCGCAAGTAAATGGTTATTAAACACAAACTAATGCATGTAATTATGAAATTGTAATACGAATGCTTATGCGCTTATACTAATAATGGATTTTGACAAATCCTTTTGGTTACAATTATTAGGATTAACGTTTGGAAACACTTGTGTATAGATTCAATGATTTGTAATTCGATTACAGAAAAAAAAAAAAAATACTAACATACAATATATAATAATAATACGTACGTTGTGCCTTATAAAAAGGATTTTAGTGGTTGATTACTATAAAAATCGTGCCTTAGAAAAATATTTTAGTGGTTGATTACATAGTGATTAATAAAGTGATTAACGACGATTATTAATTAATGTTAACTTTTGACGTTACATTAATATTTTAATAAGAAAATCGAAAACGAATCATTGTTAAATTTGATTTTATTTTCATTATTATAATAATTATTATTATTATTTTGATTGGATTTTGTAATATCAGATATCAGAAATCGAAACTACGTACGTACGTATAATCATCTGAAAACGTATCAGTATATGTAAATGCATCCAAAAAAAAAAATATTTCGAAATTTTAATTCTGATCAAAGATTCTAAAAAATCAATTATAGATATATATGTATGCGCATAATCATTAGTTTCATAAGTTACTGACATGGAATTAATGATATACATGAGATATACTGTACATGATATGATATACATGGAGTAAACTATCATTACCAGAAGATAAAAATTTATTGTTCTTTAATATTGTTCAATATATAGTTATAATTTAACAAGTCATGTTACATTTATTTAGAAGTTATTTTTATTTAATACGTATCGATATATATATATATACTGTATATATGTTATACGTATTAAGAAGTTCTTTATTAACACTTTTATGTAGTAGACCTATAATAGTAATTTTTTTCGATCACAACATAGTGTCAAACGTTTTAGTATAAAAGGAAGGTTGTGAAAGCTAAAAGAAAATTATGGAAAATCTATATAAGATTTTCATGATACGTATTAGGATAAAGACTTTATTAAATATATAACAAATTAATATATGCAATATATTCATTTTGTATTTTGTATTTTTGTACGTATCATACGTATAACAAGTATAGAACTTTCATTTATTTTATTTTATTTTTTTTAAGCAAATTAGAAAGTCAGGAGGATGTCTCATGCCATAATCATGATCAATATTCATATATATAATATATATAATATTATTATTCGTTTTAATAAGTAATATGTACTCTGTTTTTCAAACAATAATGACCCCACAAATATTAATGTGGTGTAATGACTCACAGAATAAACAAGCATAATTTTGGATTCATTTAATGGTGTTGGTAGTACTAGTCACATTAATCACATTAAACATTAAAAAAAACGATAATTGGTCAAAAATTATTAAAATTATTGATTTTTTTAAAAAAATTTAGTTGATAAAAAAATATTCCCATCTAATAAACATTTTAATTTTTTGAAGTCGCAAAAAAATGGGTTTACAAATTATTATTATTATGACGAAAGAGATGGTGATCTAACCCGTAATATTCATCTATCAAAATAAATATTAAATACTGTATACGTATACTGTAATTAAATATATAATAATAATATATAATAATTAAACATAATTATAATAACTATAATATATATATAATAATTACATAATTACATAATTACATAATTATATACGTAATAACCAAATATAATATAATACGTATACGTATAATAATCAGAATAATCAGATATTTAGTCGAATGTAATATACAGATATAAGTCGAATATATGATATATACTGTATATACGTATATAATAATCAGAAATAAATATCAAAGTTATTATAATCATCAAATATATAAATTATAAATAAAATATAAAATTAATTAAAAATTAAAACAATAAAGTAATTTCGTTGTATATAATGTGAAAGAGGCGTAGATGGGAATTTGATTGATCACAATTGCATTTGTTACTGTTACCAACTTAGTATTAAGATAAAACCAGTAAGGAATTTATGGGTGATCCTAACATAACATCAAATGAAAAAATAATCAAAATAATCAAATCAAATCATAATAGATATCCATGTGACTAAATTCCTGTTTACTGGTGGTTTTTTTAAAATAACGAAATAATAAACTAGTTAAAGTTTAGTATACCGTCAATGATGTACGTACGTATGTGTACGTACTTTGTGAATGGGAAGATTTCGGTGGAGGTGCTTACAAAGAATTTCTTACCATAAACCTCTATTTATTACTATTTATTTCTTTATTTTAATCACTATTTATAATTCAGCAATTACTTTTTAGAAAACACTGTTCATTTTCAATTATTTTATGTCGCTATTTATGAACATATGAAACAATAACAATAATGAGTTTTTTAAATGAATGAATTTGAGAATTGTTGAGAATTGTTGAGAATTGTCTCGAGCATAAAAAAATAAAAAATAAAAATTCCGATAAAAAAAACGTTTATAGAATGTACTGTATAACTGTATATGATAATAATAATATTCAAAAACAGGACGCAGTAGCATATAGTTTGACTTCATCGACATCAAACCTTATCAAACACGCAGTTATTATAATCAAACGGGTAATCAGTATGCATGCTTACAACCAGGTACTTTATCGGCCTGAGAACGTTGCACTAAATTTTACTACTGTATTATCATTGCAAATTATATATATATTTTTACTATATTACAACCTATGTTAGGACAACTGGAAAGATAAAATGAGGTAAAGTAATACCCTTTTTTACGTATTGTATTTTTCACAAAAACGGATGTTTGTACTTGTATAATAAATGTAGGTAGCCAATCATATTCCTTAAAAAAAAACGTGTCACGAAAAAAGTTCTCAAAGGAATAATTTGATAAAATCAAAGATTTAATTTTTTTTTATTATTTTTTTAAAAAAAAAAAAACATTGCAAATATTTAATTAAGCAAGAAAAAAAATTTCATCGTATGTATTGAGTGAGCAAAGACCATTATAATGGTCATGTCACCCAAAAAATAATTAATTATTAAATGAGAGTATATAGTTGGATATTATTAACTTTATGAATATATGAATTCAAAAAAAAAAAGTGTAATAAAAAAAAAAAAAAAAAAAAAAAGAAAAAAAAAGGGAACGTATAAAATGAGTTTATTTATGTACAACGAAAAACGAAAAAAATTTTAAAAAATTTTAGAAAATTTTTTTTTCGTAAAAATGTAAAATGTAATGTATATTGTAATGTATATATTGTCTATATAAAAAAGAAAACCATACTACTTGAGTCCATACTCTGACTATCCAATGAATAAAAAAGAAAAAGAAATTAATACAGTATCATAGAAGAAGAAATGTTCGAATATAAAATTATGAAAATATCGATCGCTAATATAGATCAACTATATTTTGCTTTGAATAGAGTTGATATATTGATCAAAATTTCCATTTTGAAATTGACGATAGTACTGTTGGAAATCTGAAGTGGTTATGGCTCTTGCACGTTGTGGAGCGGGTAAAGGACTAATTGTTCCTTCTTGCTTGCCGATATCGGCCATGGTTTGGAGCATTGGATCCTTAAGTAATCGCTCAACAAATGTGTCTTTTCGACGACGTTTTGTTGTGGTGTTTGGATAGGTGTAGGAACGAGGAATATCTGACCGAATTTGTGGAACGACGAAGGTTGACATGTTTGTTAATTTGAGCTCGACAATATTTGATGTTTAGTGTGGAGGATATAATATGTGACCAAAAAGAATTGACACTTTGATAATATGTTTTTTGATCTATTAATAAAGATTTTTGTTTTTTGTTTTTTTGGAGAGAGGAGATAAACAGCTTATATATATATTATCGTCATTTATATAAGTTTATATAATTGTTAATCAAAAAGTAGATCAAAATTAGAACAACGAACAGTTTAGATGTACTATATCAATATAGATAATACTGTAAAATAATTTTTTAAAGTGTAACGTAAAGATAATGGTAACACTACTTGTTTATTATACGTACATATTTATGTTATGTACTTACATACGTATGTACGTGTTTTTTTCTGTTTCACAGTAATACGTATTAATTAATATATGGGAAGAAAAAGAAAACAAATAGAAATAAGCCGGTTGGCGGTGGCGTTGTATCACTGAAAGAAATCCCACACTTACTTATCGTATTTTATCAGTTTATGTGTTTAAGGTTATATTATTGGAGAGCTGCATTCATATATTAGTATAATTTGTATAATTTGTATAATTTGTATAATTTGTATAATTTGTATAATTTTCGTATAATTTTTCGTGCTATTTTTCGTACAATTTTTCGCATGTACATTTATATATTTGAAGTAGCGCCATTTTTGAAACTGTCCTTTTTGCAAATCTGCAATGCATCGTGACAATCAATCAAATGACCCCGAGGGAAATTTCATTTTATTATACCGATACTGTCATTATCATTATAGTAATGAATATCATTCATTATCGATATCAATGAATAATTTTTTCTTCTTCCATCTTTTAATAGTTTTTAATAGTTGCTATCATTAATTATCATTAATTATTCATATTAATGAATCTTCTAAATTTCGTATTAATAAACTTTTTCGAAATTTTTTTCCCTTTTTTTTTCTCAAATCTTAGATTTACCCGTACAGAGAATGATTAAGAGATTATCCGCATAGTTATTAGTAATGCTTATTGGGATCCGCGGATTAATGTTAGCGATCGTGTTAAAACCTTAAAATGTCCTAATACCGACATATCTATGGCTGAATAAAGTTTCTCTTCATAATTATCATATGACTATGATTTTAATTCTCTATCACGTTCATTGAGCTATTTTTTATTTCTTTCAGTGTTCAACTGACCTGCCAATTGTCCTTTTTTATTTTTTATTGTTTTTTGTTCCTTTGTAATCTCTTTCATAATCTCTTTTATAATCTCTTTTATAATCTCTTTTATTATCTTTTTACATAATAATCTCTTCCTTTTATATATTTACTTTTTATATATTTAAAATTTGTTTCATAACTCTTCAATTTCACCTGATTCTCTGTTCCCCAGGTTCTTGGATTTCATGTTCGTCGGAGAGAATTTCTTCTTCTTAACTTGTTGCAAATGTTTTTATTTGTGTTTATGTCGGCCACTATGTCTGTCACTATGTCTGTTCCTTAACTATACTGATTCTTGTAGACTAGTTCTGGAAACAATTATCTTGAATTATGCATCTTTCTTGTTATTCGGTGGTCTTATCATTTATTTATTGTTGCACTGCTTTATGGATCTACCATGGTTCGGATAACGATAATTCTGTATTACTCTTTTTTTTTTTTTTTTTTATACTCCTTTTCATATAAAATGTATAATTATAAATATTTATAATAAACCAATGCGTCTAACGTATCACTTTTCTTTTTTACCTTCTATTTTATTAGTCATTGCGCATCTTTCCTTACTACCAATCATTGAATTTTACATGTCTAAAATTTCAGCATAGCTATATATATATATATACTTATAAATAAATAAATAAATAAATATAAATAAATAAATATATATATATTATTTTATATGTATACCGATACCGATATTTAGTACTGTATATTTAACTATCATAGCTAATCACACCGGGCTACATAAAACCTAACTTATTGTAATTTGCCAAGATCCTGCAAATCTTTGAAAACCTCGCATTTTATACATAGTATCAATATCGATAAGACTACTGAATTACTGTATATGTATTTTTTTTTGCGTACGTTCGTATTAAACATAATTATTCAAATAATTTGTATAATATATTTACGATATTTTATTTTATTTTAAAAAAGTACGTACGTACGTACGTACGTAGGTATTATACGTATAATAATATATACAGTATATATAATATTATAGATGTTATACTGTATATTAAAAATAATTATGTTTATAATTACTACGTAGCCTTTTTAATAAAATTTATATAAAATTTAAAAATAAAAAAAAATTTAAATAATATTTTGATACTACTGTATATTATTTATTTATTTATTTTTATAATATTTGGGGTATAGTATCTGCTTTAGTCTTTATTAATATATAAGTAAATTAATATTTAGTAGTGCTATAAATATATATATATTATATAAAAAAATTAAAACTAAAACTTTAAATATTAAAACTTACCAAAGCTACTGTATATCAATATTTTTATATATGAGGTTGAGTTAATAAAAAAAAGACAAATCATTTTTAGTGTTTTTTTTTTAATTTTTAAATTAATAGTTATCTGTTTGCCTATTATACTAAATTTAGTATATAAAAAAAAAATAGTAAAGTAACTAAGCAACTATACTTATACAGTCAGACCCCTCTAAATACATGTTTTTTTTTTGAGCCCAACTAATATTATATCTATAGATTTTTATCTTCCTAAATACAATATCTCACTAAATACATGTGCTAGAGCTGGTTCTAATAACATATATTTAGAGAGGTCTGATTATATATTCAAAATTTACAAATATATATTTTAAACTTAATTTAATATATTTATAAAATTTCACAACTAGTTAAAACATTTTATATTCAACTTTTTTTGACAATCACTTATACCAAATTTTGTTAAAAAAAGAAAAAGCATTATAAAGATGGTTTTTATAAAAGTCAACTTAACTCCTTTATATATTCAGCATACAAATCAAAAGTGTTAATATACAAGATAACTGATAAGTAATGCTCTTGTATACAAAATTTGAAGAAGATGATACTTTAACAGAAGTGAGACCACTTTGTCAACAAAATCATATATAAATAACATAATAGAAAAAGGACAACAAATAAGTTTTTTAAATTACTTTTTTGAAAATTTAAAATATCTAATCTCAAAAACCACTTTCTATATTTTTGTTAGATTTTTGGTATTTCTTTCAAATTTTTTTCTAAAATATAAGAAATTTAATATATTCCCTATAAAAAATCAATATTGTTTATAGCACCAAATTAGAAATAGCAAGTCATGAAAAAGTCATATTATTACACGCCTAACTAATAGTGAATAATATATAATAAATTCATAGAGTAAACAAAAAAAAATTTGTATTCTTTATATCATCAAACTATTTTAATACTAAAATAAAGCAAAGATAAAAATTGTTTTACAGAGTATTAAATAGTGTTATTATATTTTTGTTTTTTTTCTTTGCTCTTCTTTTCTTTTTGTCTTTTTTTTTTTCTTTTTTGTTTTTTGTTTTTGTTTAGATTTTGTAGCTTTTCTTTTTTTTTTTTTTTTTTCTTTTTTTAATTTAGTTTTTTTTTAGTTATTTGTTATTCTTTAAGCAAGGATTATGAAATTCTCTTGTTTAATAATTAGAAAAGAAGAGATTTAAAGAAATTGCAATCATAACAAGCTATAGAAACTATTTGTTAATATGCTTATTTTTTTTGTTTATAAAGGCAATAAATAAAGAGATAAACTTTATTATAGCAAGTTAAACATAGATGCATTTGATGCAACCAGATTAGTTAATACTTGACCAGGCCAATTGATTCAGTAAAATTAATAAACTGTGTAGTTTGTTTATTTATACCTAATAAAGTAAAGGCATAACTGCTGAAGTTATAAAAAAAAATAATAATTTCACAACTAGTTATTAATAAAAATTTTATATAATCTAATTATAAAATTTTATTATACTAAATTTAATATAATACAATTACGTGTTTGAAGACAAATACATTGCACAGACCCTGAAATAAATCCTGATCAAAAAAAAAATCTTTGGTGACAGTAGCAAGTAGCTTAAGATATGAATATTGAAGTAATAACATCTTTACAGAAATATCACAATCTTGGTTGTTGTTGGCATCATATATGGAGAGTTGAATTCTAGTATAGTGAAAGCACTTGGCTTGAGATATGGACTAGGTTATTAAAAAGATTTAGAAATAGGTTGAAGAAAATTTTAAAGTTAAGTTAGTTTTATAACAGAAATATACAGATATTGTATCTGGTATATAATTTTTAAATTACCTGGTACAAATTATAATAGTATATTAAATTACTTAATTTTTTCTTTTTTCTGCTTGTTTCATCTATTTTTATTTATATTAGAATCGGTTTAGATTCCTCTTTTCTTTTTTTTTGTTGTTTCATTTTTTTTTTTGAGTTCTGTTTTTTTTTTTAG